TTTGTTTTCATGGCTGAGGCCCTCTTCCTTTCTCTGTCGTTGCTCCTCTTCCGCAATCTCCGCCTCCAAACGATTTCTATCATCTCCATCGTCACTCATCTTCTAGTTTTTACAAAAAATCAAACACAAAATCGTGGCTCTTCAGGAAAAAAATTGCAAAATAGAGGGAATTAAATCATAATTTGAAAAAAAGGCACTTCAATCTGTCAAGGTGATGAACATAATATTAGGGATGGAAAAAATTAAAAATTAAATAAAAGAAAGCAGAAGAAAGAATAGGGTTGGAAAAATCTGAACAGGTTGTAGAATGTAGAGAAAGAGAAGGATGGGGAGGAGTAATTTTGGCAACAAATAAGGTTAATATGGTCAATAATTTTTACTTTAAGGGACACATGTGTAATTTTAGATATTTTAAACTGTGTAGATCAAAGTTATCTCACCCCCAAGGCAAGATCAATTAGTCCCGGTTTCCCATGATTTTTCCACTGTTCATCGCGGGCCCTATCCTATCTGGCGGGCCGGAATCTTGGTAAACAAATGTGAGATTAGAGGTGGATTGGAGGCTTAATCTTGTCATATCTAGGCTAACAAACGTGTCCTTAGGGTATTCTTTATCTCTATGATAGACTTACATTTTAGGACGACTACATATTATTATTTAAATTTTTTTTTTAAATAATTACATTATTTTGGTTATCAAATTTTTAGGATATTCTTTATCTCTATGATAGACTTTTATATTTTAGGACGACATAATATTATTTAATTTTTTTTTGTAAATAATTACTCCCTCCTTTTTAAATTAGATGTCGTTTTGACTTTTTTGATTTATCCATTTTGCTACGTATCTAGACATATTTTAATGTCTAGATACGTAACAAAATGGATGAATCAAAAAAGTCAAAACGACATCTAATTTAAAAAGGAGGGAGTACATTTTTTTGGTTATCAAATTTTGTTACTACCTCATTTTTTTTATAAATGTCATTTTGGCTTTATCAACAATTATCTAAATAAATGACGTTTTGGATCTTTTGTACATATTTTTTCATTATTACTCTTATCTAGCTAATAAATACACTATGTCTTTTCATATTCACTCTTTATATTTTATCAAAATATCCATCTCTATTCTCATTAATGAGGGTTATTATTTGCAAAAAAAATATTTTTAATTAGTGTGCAACTTCTCAAAACAATATCTATTAAAAAAAGGAGAGAGTAGTAATTAGTATTGGGAATTGCAAAACATTCTTCCCCAAGAAAAACCCTCCAAAAAGCTCCAACTCCAAACCCCACCCAATGCCGTTCACACACAATACACACGGTACACAGTGATTCTCAGCTCTAGACATGGAAATCGACGGCAATCCAGCCAGCCTAATCGAAGACAAGGACCTGTTCAAGGCGGCGGAGTTCGGCGATATCTCGGTTTTCCGATCGCTCTCTGAAGAGCAGCTCCTCAAAGCCAGCTCGCTCCGAAACGAAGATGGCCGCTCTCTCCTACACGTCGCCGTTTCGTCCTCCCAGCCCGAGGTCTAGTTCATCAATTACCTTTCCTGTGCAGCTGTATTTCAATTGCTCGAGCTTTCAATTCCTTCCACGTGTGAAAATTTATGCTTCTTTGTGTTACAGTGAAGTTTTGCAAATTTCAACCTCAAACCCTAGACAGTTGGAATGTGGGTTTTTTATTTTTATTTTGGTTTTTGTGTTTTGGCTTTGTTTGATGGCAATTGGAGTACGAAAAGCCCTGCGATTGATAGTGGGTATTCAGTTTTGTCTCTCTTTTCCATTGCCCAAGAAATTGAGGAAGAATGTTTTCGGGCTTGTGGTTTGATTAAACGTGTTTTTTTGGCATTTAGTTTTGTCTGTTAGTTGTTGAATTTATGTGTGTCTGTGTTCAAATTGTGCCTGTGGATGGATTAGGTGGTGGAAATTCTATCGGCTGCCGGCCCATCGGTTGTGAATAGTTGCGATGAAGAAGGCTGGGCTCCCCTGCACTCGGCTGCGAGCAGCGGCAACTTAAAAATTATCGAGATTTTACTGGACAGAGGTGGGTTTTAGAAAAAATGTTTTTAAATGATTTTCTGCCTAGTTAATCTCCATATGAAGAATTTTTGGTGTTGATCAGGAGAGAAATTTTCTTGTCTTGTGAGAGCATGAACTCAAGATGATTTGCTGTAGAAATGAACATTAATGCCCCACTGCCCCATCTAACTGCATTTAATTTTCAGAAATTCCTTTTCAACTTGATTCTTCAATGCCTAAACTTTGATTTTATTACACCGGAACATGGATTGTGCTCTGAAGTTCCTCCAACTGTATGGCTTTCAGCAAATCAGTTTCTAAAATCATCTCAAAAGAAAATATATCTTTATACTGCTTTTGTATTGATTTTATGAGAACACGGTATTGCTGTTAAAAACTTAAAATTGTTATTTCAACAGTCTAATTGGGAAATTGAATGCTTACGAACAGGAGCTGATGTGAATCTGAAAAACGACGGTGGCCGCACGGCCCTCCATTATGCTGCTAGCAAGGGCCGGCTGAAGATAGCTGAAATCCTTGTTTCACACGGCGCAAAACTCAACATCAAAGACAAGGCTCGTCGACTTTGTTACAGTATTATAAATTTTGTTTTTTTTTTAAATATTATTTCTAAATATTGGATTTTTAAAATGATGCTTAATGAATTGTGCAGTTCGGATGTACCCCATTGCATCGTGCAGCGAGCACAGGAAGTGCAGAGTTGTGTGAGTTCTTGATCGAGGAAGGAGCAGTGGTCGACGATGTTGATAGAGCAGGTCAAACTCCACTCATGACTGCTGTAGTATGTTGTAACAAAGAGGTAATATCTGACTTCTATCCTCCTCTCTTTCCGTAAATTCTTTCTATAGTAGGTTCGTGAACTTTGAAAAATTCAAGTTACAAAAATATTTTATTAGAAAATTGGAACCTATTTTTTTGAGATAACCGTAGTACATCAAGGGAATTATTTTGAAATGCTGAACTCAGTCATACTTTTTTGGTAAATTAGGAAAAATTGCAGTGGTAGTTTCATGCAATTTGTTCTGAACTAGCCCTTCTAATTTGTTGAAAGGCTAAAATGCAATTTTGGTCCTATTAGATTATGAATGTAGCGATTTAGGTCTCACTAGAGTGACATAGCATTTTAAGTCCTGTAATCGAAATGATTGAAATTGCAACAAAGTTTTAAATTCAGGACTTAAATTGTGAATCTAAATTCATCCCAATTATATAAATTGGGAATTTCGACTGTCAGTGGATTCTAATTGCAGCTAAATTTTAAATTATAGGACTTAAAATATGTCAATCTAGTGGGACCTAAATTGCTACCTTCAATCTAATAGGACCTAGTTTGCAATTTAGCCTTGTTGTAATAGTGGGATTGGTGCAAATGCAATACCCTCTGTCGATTAATTTTTTTCCATAATTGTGCTTGGTTTGCAGATAGCCCTTCTTCTTATAAGACATGGAGCTGATGTTGATGCCAAGGATAAAGAAGGATACACAGTTCTCGGCCGAGCTTCTGATGATATACGCCCACTTATAATCGATGCTGCTAAGGCTATGCTGGAAGACTGAAAATGATGGTTCTTCTTTACATATCAAGACAGAAATACAGAGTTGCATCACCTTTTTTGTTTGTTCTCATGTAGTTTTGTGACTATTGTTTGTGCTTTCCTAAGCTCATGTTGGATTTTGCCCCTCCTATAGTTTGGTATTTTGTTTGAATTCTTTTATAAAAGTGACCAATGGCATTTTCATATTTTGGGGAAATTGCCAAAATAGTCATATGTTTGGGTGAAATGCAAAAAATGATCCTTTCTGATTGGTTTTTTGCAAAATTGGTCCTGGATGCATTAATTTGTCTCAATTTAAGGACAAATTTCACTAGCCTATAAGGTGGTGCTTAGTTAGAGCTAAAGACCAGAACTGTAAGCACTTTACAATTCTTATTCAGTCAGCGGATATGGTGGATGATATCAATAGAGGACTGCTGAATACAGATGAATCAAATCAGGAGCTGTTAGACATTAAAAATCTTCTGTGAGGCTACTGTTGACACTATTTTTTAGATTGTTGTTGTTATTGTGTTATTTAGACTGCGGCAATGTTGCCAATTAGGGGGTGGATTACCATGCCTCGTAATCTATGTGATTTGTAATCAGTTGATTACCATGTACATTTTCTTAGTTTAATAAAAGTTTGTTTCTATGTCGTTGGAA